CCTCATATATCTTCCTAGATGATAATTTATACAGCAAGTTGAACTCAACTGTTTGACAGTCGCATCTATGATAACGTTGGTCACATGTAATCTTTCAAATATTACCTGGATTACCTGGATTGGCCAGGCTATCAACATCATTTTTGTATATATCAAATATATCAAAATATCAAACTATCATTTTTCAAATATACACAACTTATTCGAGTAAAATTTTGAGATATGTGCACGAGATCCAAATGATGAAAATGATAACGATTATGATAAGAATCACTCGTGATAACAGCAACAGTTTGAGTCAAAATTATCTTTGCCCATATATTTGATGTCCATATTACCTGCGAGTCAGTCTAGCAAACAATTTACTGATGAATTGTGCGGCCACTTTGACTGCTGAACTGATCAATTACTGTGGCCAAATAAAACACGAAGATTTTCGTTGAATTCGAAGGCAACCGTTCAATACACACTTCAATAGAACCAATGAGAACATTATACAGTTGCAGATTTTATTTTCCTTAAGCAAACTCAATGTAACATTTGCATATTCATTCATTCTTCGCATTGAAATTATCACATTCTTTGTGTTAGTGTACGTCATCTCAATGCAACAAATATCGTGAAATTATCAGTGTTTTACTCCGAGAAACCTTTTTTGTAAATGTTTTTGTTTAATTTTCTTTGTTAATACATGCAAAAGTGACGAAGAGTTTCCAAAATGTTATGCAAAATCCTGACACAGTCTACTACTAACCAATGAGACTGATCAACCGCAGCGTTGATCTAACAGAAACTTCTATAGATTCATTATGTTTTTAGATTTTGCCATAGAAATTCTCGAAATTCAGACATAATTCTGTTGGAAAGTCAACTGAACAATTTAAATTTCCGCTGGAAAACAATAGAAATAATTTCACATGCATAAGTTTGATGATAGATTTCACGTTAATAATCGTTTTTTCGAAAACTTCGAAGAAAGGCTCTCAATTCATATTCAGAGGGATGGCTCGAGAACGAGAGGAATCTGCAGAGAATAGCGATGAAGTATACGATGAAATAGATCAGTTCCATCGAAAGCGTAATGAAGTGCTAGATTTGGATGAGGGCAAGCAATCGAACAAGATCGAAGAGGTGCTGAATGTTGAGGGTGATATTTCATCAGATGAGGATGAAGAGTTTGCTGATGGTAATAGCGATGCTGATAGGGATTCTTTATTCGACTCGTCGGATAACGAGCAAAATAAAGCTGACACCAGTAAAGGTGAAGTGTCTAATGATAATATTTTTAATGATAGAGCTGATAGCACCAGTTTTATTGGCAGTAATGATATAGTATTGATAATCCCAGAGCTGGCTTCCTTGGTGATCTCCAAAGCCGGTTTTAATCGGATTGCAAAGAAATACATACATGCGCAGGAAATTCAAACCGTTCAAACCTAACTATAAAAAATTAAGCATTTATCATTGATTAGCAAGATAAACGG